ACACACACACACACACACACTCTCTCTCTCTCTCTCACACACACACACACACACACACACACACACACTCACACACGCCCCGCCTGGCAGGAATCGATACGTCTGCGAGTCACACCCACCTATTGCGAACCGTCGAGGCCGGCCCTGCCCAGTGCCCCCTATCCCCAGAGACACACCGTTGGCGGTTCTTTCTTTTTTCTTTGCTTTTCTTCTTCTTTTTTTTCCTTTCGTACCTTCTTACTATTTTCTCTACTCACTTTTGTTTCTTCTTCAGGAGATTGTTTCTCATCCTCTTCCACCCCCCAACCTTTCTCTCCCCCCCTCTGTATGTGTGTGTGTGTGTGTGTGTGTGTGTGTGTGTGTGTGTGTGTGTGTGTGTGTGTCTGTCTCTCGCTCTCTTTCTCGTCTTTCCTTCTTTTCAAATGCACTTGAGTTGAGATCATTTTTTGCCTTAATTTTTTCCCTCCTCCTACACGCTTCTGTCAATACTCATTACTTCAAGTAATATACACCATCCTTCAATTTTCCCCTTCAAGAACCAATCAAACAGACATGTCTGAGAGCTGGGGCCGTTCACTCTTAATCTTTAAGCCTCGATCCTCCACTAACAGAACACAATTCCAAAAGACAGTAGGCATACCGTTAGCTCATTTTGGCATTAGGCTGGATGAGTGAGCCAGGTTCGAACATCCCGTAGAAAGGTTCCATGGCCAGGAAACATAATTATCAAGACTTTTCATGACTCTTACTTCACTCGGGACTAGTTAGATCAAAGATGGATGCAAACTACGTGGTAATTGTAGAAGTATTACGTCCCCATCGAGACAATTTGGGTAATTTAAGAGGCGGGCTGCTTCAACACTGCTGCCAGGGCCGAGTCGGACTGAGAGGGACACACTGCCTCTGCAAACAGACGGAGGAACTCGATACTCTATCCGTACGCCCTGGGGTAATTATTTTTGTACCCCCGGGGTTGTATGCTTCAATTTTTAGAATACTTCTAGTATGAAGATCTCCAAGAAACTTTCAGTATTCCTCAAAAATCATTTTGACAGACTGCTATGCAAAGGGTAAGGATCGGATTAACGAGTAAATTTCCTCTTTGGAAAGAGGTGGTACAGAGTTCCCCACGTCGTAAGGATACGATAGTAAAACGACATACGGATAGGGATAAAAACCTCTCCGCACGGGAACCGAACTGATGTCTTCTGCACGTGACGACAATGCGCCTAACCACTACACCGCAGATGCCGGCACACGTCTTTGAGTAGAAATGGGTTAAACTTTTGTACCATGACAGTGGGCCTCTCTTTGTAAGTGTAAGCATGCATTATAATAATATGTGTATGTGTAAAATGTGTTTGGAAGAGTGGATGTGTGAGAGAGCATATGTGTATAGGTGTGCGTGCGTGCATGCGTGCGTGCGTATGTGTGTGCGTGCGTGTGTGTGTGTGTGTGTGTGTGTGTGT